TGGTCCCTTCCAACACTGAGATTTTGAGATTCTGAGCACGTGTCAGACAATGCGCAGAAGCTTCCAGCATTTGCAAATTAGGAAAAAAATGTCACATATAGATTTGACAGATTCAGGTCTGTTCTGCCCCCCATAATGTATGCGATGACGACTTGAAGGCCCGTCGGCTTCCATAAGCGGATCACAAGCACGATGGATGACTGATTAAAGGAGGTATGTCGCCACACTGTGCAAATCCACACCGAAAAGACATCAGGCTTTCACAAATCCCTTTTATCTTCAAAGATAAAGCTTTAGCTTCCTGGCCCCTTAGAATGATAGTAGCAGCATTAACATTTATTATCCTGTCTTCTTTTAAAAGTAGTATAATAAGGTAAAACAAAGAAGTGAAAGAGCCTGTCTAAAGACCCAAGGAAGTCATTTATTGAGTCACAAGCTACAAGCCCCAGAGCTGATGATGGAAAAGCATAAGAGAATATCATCCACCCTTTTATTACAATATCAATGAAACATGAGGACAGTGGTCCTAGAACTGAGGGTATGTAACGTGGGTAACGTGTAAGACAGCCTGCAGCAACTAAACTATTCCCTTCCCTCAAGCCAAAAGAGGGAAAGGAAAATAAATTAAGACAGAAGGGATTCTCTGGATGTTCAGACCTTTCCAGATGTCGTGGAAAATTACACACAGACCAAGGCCAGTTGAAGAGCAAGTACCTGTTCATATCAGCAGCACCCACAGTAATCCCACTGGAAGCTCTTCACTACCTTGAGGCCTGGGAAGCCAGATCCTGGGAACCCCACCACCTACTCCAGTAGAAGTAGTAGAATTCCATAACACTCCAAAAGAACTTCCACAGTGGTTTCTCCATTAACCAAATTCTGTCTTCTCAGCGTCCCTCTTGTCCTTATTGCCACCTTGCTGTCTTCCGGGACTGCCTCTTCTGTCCCTGGAAGCTCTCTCCCTGATTGCTTCACAATTATCGTGTTATGAGTTGAACTGTCTCCCCAAAAAGACATGTTGAAATCCTAACCTCAGTGCCTCAGAATGTATTTTGAAATAGGATAGCAAATGTTAAAATGGATGATAGAGGAGGAAGGAGGATCTTTCATTCATCCTGCACCCTTGTAAGAAGAGAAGACATGGAGACAGACACAAGAAAGTAGATGATGGCCACGTGATGACACCAGAAGCCTCAAGGGCAAGGAAGGATTCTCCTCTACAGTTTCAGAGGTAGCATGGTCTGCTGATACCTTGATGTCTTATTTCTAGCCTCCAGAACTGAAAGCTAAAAATCTACTGTTGTTTGAAGGCACCCAAAGTGTGCTACTTTGCTCTGGTAGCCTCGGGAATGAAAAACACCTCTCAAGAACACGACTTGGTTCTCCGTAATGATACAACATACTTTCAGCAATGCCCTCTGGCAAAAGTTCCTGTTCTCTTATGAAAGATTGCACAAAGTCCTTGAATGTTTCCTAAGGAACTCTTCCTACCACCTCCTGCAGTGGAAACCTTCCTAGGCAAAGAGAGCCCTTGATGAACACAAAACCACCAAGAGAGGAGAACATTCTGCCCTATTTTTAGCTTCCCATTGCTGCATATAGACCGTTACCCCACCCCTTATGCCAGAGCTATGGCCCAGAATCCACCCTCGACCCTCTTTGCTTCTCCCTCTACATATTCTACCTCAGCCACCACGGCTCCCTCCCTTTCAATTTTGGGGAAACAAGCTTCAGAGCTACATCTCAGCTCCTGCTTAGTGTCAGATCAGTGTTCCTTGTGGCTCTTCTCCACAAATATGTATATTGGTACCCAAAGCTTAGTATGTTCCTAACCAGACTCATGCTTCCCAGTCCTAACCAACTTCTACTTTATTCTTTCCTGTGGATGGCCCTAGTTTTCTCCTACTCACTCAGATATGGAATTCTAAAGTCACCTTTAGTTTCTTTTTTTTGGCCTCAGCTCTACGTAATTTCCACAGACTCCACCTCAGATGTGTCTGTTGCCTGTCTCCTTCTGTTTATCAGGCCAACACTGATATCACATTGGCTCCTTAACTGGTCTCTCCATCTTCCACTTAAGTACACATCCTGATAGACTCCCTCAGACTTTAGCAGTTTCCTCATTGTCTAGAAAATTAAGAATGAAAAAAACAGCCTATGATCCGAAACACCCTATGATTGAATCACTACGTGTCAATGTCAGGGGTAACAATTTTATATCCTAAACCTCATTATACAAACTCTGCTCCAGTCAAATTGTGCAATTTGTTGATTCCCAAATATTTTTTTGGCTTCTCCAGTAAAATCTTTTAGCCAAAAATGCCTTGAGCTGAGACTAAAACAGCTGGGATATCAAGGAGCTATTTGTCTTTATTTTATCAAGTATCTCCTATCACTCTCCTTCAGAAGGATATCACCTAGGGAGAGGCCATCACTGACATGCTCACAGCCACCATTTACTCATAAACTTCCTTCCCCCAGATTCACAAGAAAAACTTCCCTCGGTCTCAGATTTTGTTAAAATAAAAAACCTTCTAATTAAACTGTACAAGCAATTTACTACTAAGATGATTTTCATTTCACTATCATCCTATTATGACATGTCTGAATTAATCAGATATAAGACATAGTATGCCTCAATTTAGACTGAAATTTCATAGCAATTGATGTTGCTAAAGAGGATTTCAGAATCAAGAAGGGGAACTTTTATTTATAAGAATTGGGAAAATACATAATTTTATTAATAGGCAGACACTCCAAAAATGCATTTATACATTTCCTTCTTAGTCAAGATAGTAAGATTTTTTAAAAACACACTACTAACATCATGACAGAGATGTCATCAATGTTGTAGTTAAGAGTAGCAAATGTTACAGAACTAATGAATTTTCATTAGAATCATCAGATAATTACAGAATGGGTTAAGTTGCTACCATTTGCCATTCCCATTAATATCATTGTCATGTAAAAGGTTTAATTTTCAGCTATTTTTGTTCTAGATAAAATCTTTGTCATTAAAATGAGGGATGATTTTGATATTTAATATATTCTATGGCATACTCTAGTGTGGTACTAATTTGGCCTTTTCAGTATTCTGCATATTAATTGACAACCCATCCCTCCTCCATTCCCCAGATAAGTGAGAACTGAAATAGAATGGACAGCCAATCAAGTCAAAGAAAACTGAAAGGATCAACATAGAAAAAAATGTGTTGCTCTAATCAGAAGCATACACAAGGCACTAAAATTATTTTCTCCCATACTAATGACTAAGATAGAAACAGCAATAATGAATGGCACCATCTGAAACCGTTTATGTGACAGTATTACCAGAGTATAGCAATGCTCCTGAGAAAGTAAAAACTAAATATTTCTTATTTTAGTCAAAAGAATAAAATTGTACTGCCACTTAACTTTTGGAACAATGAATTTTATCAGATTCCACAACAATTGGCAAATTATGTCCTGTATTGAATTTTTCATAGTAATCTGTTTCAAGCACACAAAATGTTTCCTGGCATTGAGGAATACCCAGGATCACTGCAGAAAACTTATTTCAATACATACTCTATTAGTTTCCGTCTCTTGTCGAATTATCACTCTGGTAAGGATTGACATCAGCTGCTTAAATAATGCATTAACCCTGCTTCCAGCAGCTATTGTTTTCATCTGCGTACGCATTTCCTCTAAGGATAAACTTGGGCTTTTTACCCAAGAAGATAATATAAAGTTCAATCGAATGTTTTGAATCATTTTTATGGCAATAGTGATATAATTTAAAATTCCAAAGAGCAAAGATTATGGCATCATGGACACTTACAGCAGGTGTGAACGGTTGTCCAATTAAATAAATTAACCTAATCTGTCCAACAAGACCAGACCTTTCTACAGTTTCTGCAACAGCACAGCCATTGAACAAATGTGAAATATGCCAAATCCTGTGCATAATAAATTTCCAATTTATACTTCTTCTCAGTTGACAATGTAAGGCATCTTATACAGAAAAACAGACCTGACCATCTAATATTTTTCAAATGAAAATCTTATTTTTAATAAATTTAGACTGTTTGTCCTTGGTAATTATTGTTAACTCTGAATCAAGCCCATGATCTTTTCCTTTCTCCAAAAAAAGAATTTCTTCCTTTAAGTTCATAATTACTGAAAAACAGCCAAGGGAAACTGTAATCTTTTCATGAGATGTTGCTATTACCTACATAAAAAAATACATTCATTCATAATAATAGTATTTAAGTAACAATAATATGTCTCCTTTTTATCCACAAAGATACATTATAGACTAATCAGCATTCAGATTTATGAGCCAAGTTGTTGTTTTGTTCTGTTTTGTAATGGATTTACAACCTCATGGGTAAACACACACATTGGTGAAAGGTCTCCAGAGATTTGAATAAGTACTTTGAAGAAAGTCCAGAACAGAGCTTCTCAGCACTATGTTTCAACCAAGTTTTCACATTTTGCCTTTCACCTCAATGTAAGCTTCAAAGTTTTAGGTAAGAATTAAAAAAAGTCAAATATGACAATGAGTATCTCTTAAATACAGCGTTGGGGGTTACTTTGGAATTGCTTTATGATGACTACTAGTTTTAATCCCTCTGGTGCTGGATGTTAAATTCCATTGTTTTTTTTTTAATTTAATGACTTCCTAATGTAAACTTCCATCTAGAACAATCAAATAGTATATCATTTATTCAAATTTGCAGTGTCTCTACTATGCCAGCAAACTCCCTCATCAAAACAGACACTTAAAAAAAAAAAGTTCACCTGAGTCAGGAGCTCTATTTCCTAAATTAGCACCAAAGTGTCACCTTGAATGACCTGTGAACAAATAAAATCATTTATAATACATCCAGCTTTCCTCTACAGTGGACAGCTGAGACCACACATCTGTAGGAGCTCTAATTATTTCATATACTTGAAGTTGTTCAGACTTCAACAACCTGTCACCTCCAAATACAATCATATGATAAATATATGCTCACCAATCTCCCTTGAGATCTGGGTGAAGGCCTCCACACCACTCTCTCCATAGTTCCCCTCAGAAGCCAGTGTCGACACATAATTCCATCCCAGAGCCGTCACAATGTCCACCATGGCTTGAGCTTGGTAGGAGTCAGGCGGGACCACCCGAGAGAAGAAGTCATACCTGGTGTTATCACTCAGCTCTGGGGCTGTGGATGCATAGCTAATTTGAGGTATCTGTAAAACAAATGACAGTTAATTTCAACCCATGAGGAATCTTGTAGAATGATGGACTGTCCCAGGAGACCAAACGGTCAAAGCTATAACAAAAACCTAGACATACCAGCTCAAAGCCAAAATAAGGTTTCAAAATACCAATTATAAAATATTTTCTAATGATCCATGGGTTTGCTTTCTTTCAATGCACATACTTATAAATAGTGAGAAAGAATTTAGTCTTGCTTCAGTTTCCATTGTTTCATAAGCCAAAGGAAAACGTCTGTGCTTTTTTATTCTGTACATGATTGTTCTAGCATAAAAATGAGAAAGAAATGAAGGCACAGTATATATATACATCAGAAAAGGTCACCTCTGAAATTATCCTTTGGCTTTAGGACACAAAGGCTATAAAAAATGACAAACAGGAAATTAAATGTAAGATATTTTTGACACTGGATGATTTTTTAAGTCTTAATATTGAATTTCAGTAAATAATTTTAAGTATATAGTTTTGAAAGCCTATTCATCACTTATTGGTGTAATCATGAATACCTTATAAAGGTTTGGAAATAACCAACCAGGTATCCTCTAATACAAGCATCTTTCTAGTTCCCCCTAAAAGTCACAAGGAAAAGAAATCCAGACCATAACTTCTTTTAAGAGATTATTTTCTGACATGAACAGGGCAAATTTTTAAAAGATTTTTCAAAACTAGGAATTCTATGTCATTTCTCAATAATTTTGGAGGGTGAGCTGTACAGCTAGGTGTCTTATCACTCTTTGGCTGCTATTCTGGGATGTGGGTGAAAGTTCAGAAGTCAAGCACTAACTTAGGTGGCTTGTTTAAAGATGAAGGCATGACTTAATACATAAAACAACTTTATTCTCCATCAGATATTGTAGCTAATGTCAGTGCTCAAAGACAATGTCAAAGAGGTTGTGGTTCTGTCTTCCCATGCCAAAGTATACATCCTGGGATCCACTGGTTACCCACCACCCCCTAGCTTGATGAATTCCAATCCACATGGAGGTTTTGACTCCTCTCTTGACATCTTTGAAAAGCACTGAACACATGAACAGGCTTTCCAAGTCTAGATTAAGTAGTCCTATTCCATATTGGTGGCCAGTGAAGTAACTCTGAACTTCCCAAGATATAAATAATTTTTTTTAAGTTGTCTGTTTTGATGAAGGAGTTTGTTTGCTGCGCCTCACCCTGGTACAGAGGCAGAACCAGGTGCCTGGAGCTCACCAGGGTGCTGCAGGATTCTGTTTTAACGGGTATCAACCTATTTTCTCATACTAACTATAACAATGGCCACTCAGCCTATTTAACCCTAAATTCTTCCTGGTTTTGTCCTCTTGGTGAGGGCATATAAACTCACCAAGACTGTGGGATCAAATAAAACATCTGACCTCCCTCTTCCTGCCATTTGCTTTCTCTGGCCTTGTTGGACAGGTGGTTGACTTCACTAGGCTTTGTGCCTTTGAAATACATGACTACTGAGAAAGGCATGCCTCTAAGTCTCCAACCACACACCAAACTTTTGTGGCTTTTCTTGATTCCTTCTAGAGAACCTGAGGAAGAAATCATGAATGACTTGGTGTGATCTGTCCCTTACTAGGAAACATTTTTCCAAAGATCAAAACCATGTGTGTTTCTGTGTTCTAATGAAAGAGATTCAGCAGTCTGGCATTGGGAAGCACAGTGAGTCTGTGTGTGTATGCACGCATACATGTGCACACATGCATATTCACACACACACACACATGTTGGGGAACAGTATTCTATAGCATCTTCCATAGCACTGTACCATTTCCTTGTCCTATTTGGAGACATAATCCTCCCACCTCTCCATCTACTCAAGAGTCCAGCAGTAAAATGCCTTATACAATCCCCACCCTGTCTATAATAATGAGCCACCCCTTTCTAAAAATGAGCACAAAGTGTGAAAATTGAGTGTTTGAAACCAAAACTAATTATCTCAAATTACTACCTTCAGTCAGTCACTTCCAGGGCTGTTTAATTAGCAGTCAGCATCATGTTTAGGATTAATTAAACAGGTGTAAAGAGTATATAAAATAAAAGTGTAGATAGAAGATGGTTGCTTTATTAATTCAGTAATGAACTTTCTCCCCAAAGTCTTGAAAAGTTTTCTCTTTACAGATCAATGTGTGAAAAAGTAATGTGCAAGTATATGTTTGTATTTTCACTTAGTTTTTGCTGTTACAGTTTATTATAATATACATCATGGTATAGGGTTAGTATTTAAGACAACTTTTCCAGTTATCATGTGGTCACATCTCATTTTTACTTTATTGCAGTAGACCACTAAGCATTGGCTCATTAAGCACTTTAATTTCAGTGCCAGCATCCCCAATATTTCCACTATCCTCAAGTTAAACCCCTACTGGCAACTGAAGTGAGAATTTATTAAAGTCATGGAATGCTTCTTTTTCTTTTCTCTACATCCAATCCATCCTAACTACCCTCCAACCCTGGAGGATTCATCTACCAGAAGCAGCAATAATAAAAAGGTGGTGGGTGTGGGAGAGAGGTGGAAAGGGAAATGAGAGGGAAAAAAAAGTGGGGGGAAGAAACAAGAAAAGAAGAAGGTATTAGGGAAAGCAGCCTTCAACTTTTCTCCTATCCTTTTAAAGTAAAATCCTTTATAAGCCTCTGTGAATCCCCACTTGCCAATTTTAAGAATAAAATGCAAACTCTCCAGTCTGCTTGGAATGATCAGCACACTGTGCCATCCTCTCTCCCTGCCTGGTGTCTTCTCTCCATACTCTGACAGCACCAGTACCCTTGCCTACACTGTTCCCAGTACAGGGAGACTCCACTCTCTACCTGGTGATCTTCTGCATACCTCCCTGGGAAGCTTCCCCCAGCTCTATCAGGTAGAATTGTCTTTTGCTATTCCTCACTTCTATAGCCCTGCCCTCTGATATTAGAATCTTTACTGCCTGCTTATGACCCTCTGTTAACTTATTTCGTATCCCCAATACCTGACAGCAAGCGCTCAATGAATGTTTGGAGGCAATTCCCCAATTAAACCATGGCAGGAAATGTGATCCTGTTGCCTTCCCTGCATTCCATTAAAATATGGGTCACGGTCTTCTCCACTGGCCCCTCCACCCTGCTGTATGTCCTCGGGGTTGCTCCTTACTGCTGTACCACCAAGCTTTCTTGCTTCTGGCTTGCAGTTGAGTTTGGACAATGGGAAACACCAACAGAGCATGGCAGGGAAAGAGAAGACAGAAGTTAGAACTGATTTCTCCAGCTTCCTCCCCCACTGGTGCGGTGTTTCTCTGTCTGAGCCTTCACCATGGTTAAAGCTCTTGCCAGGCTCTAGTGACCACCCTCTACCCTTGCACTGTTGCTGATTCCTGAGTACTTCAGCTTCCTGTGGTGGCTCCTTTAACTGCACCCACACCTTATAAAATCCTTTTGTTAGCCTCTTTTCCATGATGCCTGAGGGTGCCAGCACCCTGACCAATGCACCCCCCTATAACAGACCTCTGTGTCCTGCCCCAGCCAGCCCTACCCTAACCTCTTAGTTCTCCTCCATCCACTTTCCCTTCCAGCATTGTCTACCACTGTCCTTGCCTGACTTTTCATTTTTCTTCTCTTTCAGTTCCCAAAGACATCAAATTGCCTATTTGAAAACAACTGTCATTTTGCTTTTCTTTGTTTCTCGTTTTCTTTGTTCTGAGGTTTCATAAGAATACGATGTGTGCTTAAAATGAGGCCATATTTCCAATACCCAAATAAAGCATATTTGAGGCAATTAATTACAGAACTCAGGACACTCATCATGCCCTCCCTAAAATAGTGCTTTTGCTTCCATTTTTCTGATAGTTATTTTTTCCCGTTACATTCTCACTTTTGTCCACAGAAGAAGAGGTTTCTGCCCCCAGCCCTATCCTTCTTGGGTCATTCCAGAACAAAATTTTCTAGCTAGCTTTCCACCCCTACTTATTCTTCCTAACAGGGAGAAGAAACTAAACCCTAAACCAGAAGCCAGAGTTCTACATATATTAAGTGAGAGTATATACAAGCTTTCCCTTTATTCTCTGACCTGCCTACACACATCCCAGACTTCTTTTCCTTACATAGCCAGGACCCCTCTTCTTGAAGTAGAAGCCCACTGTCCTTTGTTCCATGTTCCTGTGGCAACAAAGAACATGAGAGGACTGAAGCCCAGGCTGCTGGTTAAATAAGAGGACTTCAAGTATTCTAGGCAGGCAGAAGAGTGTCCCAAGGTTGAGATGTGGTATAGCAGGAGGAGGTACTATTTTGTCCACAGGTCCAAGCTGAATTCCCTCCAATCCAGTTCTTCACAGACAGCTGTGTATCTAGGGAGCTATTTGGTGCTTGCCTAGCTGTTATGAAGCTAATTACTGGGTCTACACTTAACTAGCTATTCTGTGAATCTTGGACTTACAAACTCTAAAAAGGGATTCAAAAATTGGACTTAGAGCTCAAGTTAAAGTTCTATTTCAAAAGAAATTTATATATGCATATATGTATATACATATGCATACACATATAATTATGCACATGTTATTTTTTAATAGAAGTTAGCAGAGACTCTTATCCTCCAGTGACTGTTCTCCACTTCTAGATAGAAGCTCTCACTTTTACCTAGGCTTTTGGCCACTCACCACTAGATTACATTTCTCAGCACTTCCTTGCTTTGGTAAGCATAACTTCTAAAGGGTCCTTGAAGAATGCATATGCCTTTCTCATGTACCTCCCTCTTTCTTTCTTTTTTTTTTTTTATTTTTTTATTTTTTTAAAGAGAGAGTGAGAGAGGAGAGAGAGAATTTTTAATATTTATTTTTTAGTTCTCGGCGGACACAACATCTTCGTTGGTATGTGGTGCTGAGGATCGAACCCGGGCCGCACGCATGCCAGGCGAGCGCGCTACCGCTGAGCCACATCTCCAGCCCCCCTCCCTCTTTCTTGATGACTAGAATTTGGACATAATGTCTAGATCTCCAGGAGCCATCTC